TTAAACGCCTAATTGTAACTGAATTTCAATTAACAAAACATACCAACAAAGTTGTTGATTATGTATATACAACATCTCATAATGTTAAATACCATCGAGAGGGAGAGTTGATGCATGTTTCATTTTAACCTTGATAATCATACGTCATTGTAATTATCATACTCAGATACTTACATATACCTATATGTTTAATGTGATGCATTTCCAACGATTAGCATCTTTAAAAGAAAACAGTGCTTTGTTACACACGCACGTCTTTATTTTGTACATAAATATTAGTTGCGATTTTCATTACTCCATTATATACTTCAATTAAGTGTGTATATTTACAGCAGCCAGAGGATGTTGGTATGAAAGAGAGAAAAAAGAAGTCAAACAAAAGAAAATTATTGTACTGAAAATGTGTAGAAAAATTTTTGCTGTAAAATTTATATCCGGATGTGATAAGAATCGTCTAGCCAGAGTTATAGTAGTGGTTCTAGGATAGCGTGACGCTTTTATATTTGATGAAAACCACAGAAACGATGAAAGCAACTTGTGGTGTCTACGTGCGTGTAGTATCTTAGATTTGATACGTTATCTATCGTCACAATACGCACTAGAACATTTTTACCACTTCCTCTGCAGCTCGATCATCTTGAAAATTGAATAAATATATCAATAATCTGACCAACTTTTATCATATTCGTTTATGCTATTACGTATCAGCACGAGTGTTAATATAAAACCATTAGTCATTTCGTTACTATCAATGATAATAAAAACAAAAGACAGAGTTAAGAATGTTTGTGAGGGCTTGATAAAATAATGAAAAAAATAGTATAATCGATTAGTTCAACTACTGATATGATAATGTGATATTGGAACTGGATTAAAATCTTAAAAAAAAAAAAAAAGAAATCGACCCGCAGATTTCCTTCTACCGTTTTTCATTGATTTATTATCATTATTTTTTCTTTTCTAACATAATTTATGTGTGTGTACCTATGTAATACATAAAGTAAGTACACCTCATTATATACTGTTATACATGCAACCTCCGTAAACCAAGGACAACACATACACGTGCTGCTATATCTATATAGATATATAACTCACTAGATAATTGTTGCTTTTGTTCACCTCCGTTTATACGCATTTTCTAAACGCTACAGTAATTAACTTTTCATTTGGAATAAAAGTGTTTGAAAAATGTTTTTTTTTTTTTTTACTCTTTTTTTCTAATTGATGGCAACGATTATTTTTTTCGCTTCTGTCAAGTGTGAACAAAGGATTGTCCATTGTAGAAAATTTTTTTTCAGCGTCTTTTTTATTTTTTTCTCTAGTTAAACAATATTTTGACAAATAATTGATAGTTTTAAATTCATTTAAGTGATAAATGTTAAGAAAAATCAATATAATAATGATTGAAAATCATTTCTAGATTTTGGAGTAGTGATGCTCCAAAAATATTTTTGGAGTATTTTTTATTTAATTTATAGCTGTTTATTAAATAAACTAATTTTTATTATTGTAAGTATTTATTTCTAAATTATTTATAACAATTTGCAATTATTAAATAGTTTTTACAGTTTAAAATGAAAAAAAAAACAGTAACATGAATGAAGTTAAACAAAGATTAAATTTCATGTAATGATGCAACATTTTAATGTCTTTATTCAATAATTATTTACAATCATGATTTTTTCTAATTCATTAAATTCAATAAATGTCCGGAAAGATGTTAAAGGCTAGATAACATTCAACTGAATGAGCTGTACAATAAATGCTACGCAATAAAAAACTTTGATAAGAAACATTGAAGTACCTAAAAATAATATGATACTCTGGTTAATGATTGTCCATCAGCAATCAAGTTAATGTGACCCTCAATAACTACAATTCCGGAGGTTGTGTCCGGCTCCAATTTCTAGACTGTAGTGGTAATGTTGTCCGTCTGTAACGTCATCCTCTGGCCATATAATAGTAGGTCGTGTGTGTAGAGTGGATATGTGGGTGTGTGAGAAACTCCGCTAAATCATCAACCTGCCCTTTACTGATCCGCACATATATAAGCTGATATCCTGTGTCAAACTACTCCTATCGGCTATCGGCACGTCACCACTGCAGATTTGCTTTGAGTGATTTGATTGATTATATTCAACTTGCTTAATTCATCACGATAGATTTGCCAATCATAGTAATATCACTTGAGTAATTATAATCAAGTAGTTTAATATCATAAAAAAAGTATCAATAAGATGAAGAACATTGACCTAAAAAGTTCAGATACTTAGCTAAAACAACACAAAGAAAAATAAACGATCCTATGATTAATTACATGTACTAAAGTTACAGTTAATGTATGCTAATGCTAATAGCATATCACATATCAAGAAACAGAGCAGATTGAGTTGAAATATTAATAACAATAATAATAAAAAAGAAAAACGGAAAGGCTATAGAGGAGGAGAGAAGGAAATGAAAAAGAGCTATGAGTCTTCTGGTGTGTAGTCGCGCGTGCTTGTCTACATAGCATGATAATGTGAAGTGCATATCTATCTGTTGAGAGTAGAACGTGCCACTGTAGTTGAGATAGCAGACGTTTTACTTATGTTACTACTGCTTGCGCAGTATCTCGACTATCTGCAGCCTGCTGCATGAATGCACAATTCAATTCCGCAATCATGGATCTCCTTTCTTTATATACATACACCTAATGTTTGTTGTGTTACGTGAATAAGGAAAAATCATGCTAATCAAATTTATATTAGTCGCTTTGCTATAACCTTTGATTATAATTTACTTGTTGGTTCTATCTATCATTTTCGTTATCGATTCTTCAGCAATTGTAGTCATTTTGTTTTATAGTTTTACGGTTACTTGGGTTTAGTGTGTCAATTCTGCTATATAGGGTTTCATTTACATGCAACGACTAAGTAGATATGAAGAAACAATTTGAAGAAAAAAAAATTGATTACCTTCCGTTGGTGAAATATTACATAAATGATAGAGTTGATGATTATTTTATTTGAAAAAAAGATCAAATATTTTCTGTTCTTGAACTCAGTAATATTGAGTTGTAATGTAAAATATTATCTTTATTGAGGAAAATAAAATAAAAAATAGATTTTAGGACAAGTTTATGCATGTTCCTTTTATCATGTTCAGTACTTAGATATCATTCAAGGTCCGAGCTGAAATAAAACAAATTATAATTATAATTACATTAAAGAAAGATTAAAAAATTTTTTACCAAGTTTTTAGTTTTTTTTTTTCTTTTTAAATAAATAAAAGAAACTATCGTTCTTTAATCAATATTTATACTCTGCTATTAATTACCAATGAAATAAAATTATATACTCTTTAATCATCATTTTTTTTTAAATAAATAAATTTAATGAACCACTTCTCTACAATTTTAATAAAAGTAATTGCAAATCAGCAGAATGTAAATTCTACTCAACAGCGTTTCATAAATACAAGGTTTAGATTATATTATCAATAATCATCAATTAGTTTGATAACAAATACAATTTATTAGCCCATGGAAATAATCAATTTGGAATACAGATAAAATATAGTTAATGATTTTTTGATTATCAAAAGTATGATTATTAATTAACAGATCTTTTAGTAAATATGAAATATCACTCATTGACTTGAAGCATCAATTACAATGTTTACGTCGTGATGATATACACATGAACACTTTGAATATTAATAGTGAAAAATTTCTCTTTCATTTATGAGAAATGATGCATATATTATAATTTAATAATAACTAACAAGGTATATAGACGTCAAATAAAACCTTTATTCCTTTTTACTCTCATTACAATATAATTAAAGTAATTCAAGAACAAAGATAAAAAGAAAGTCATCGTTTTATCGCGAGAAAATGCGTATGTAAGGTGCACAAGAATCGACAATTATATTTTTATTCAATAGCAATTTACTACTGGAGTGTTATTATAATATAGACATATCTAATACTTCATATAGTTGTAGAATAATTCGTATTTTCAGTGTTGAGAAACTCTATCATTTATTATTATATTATTAACTTGATATAATTCTGTGAATAACAATTCCGTTGATCTCACCAACTACGACTTGTATATATACCTTTCTCTTAAATATATAATATATAATTCTAGATCAAATAAAAAAATGCCCACATCGACGCATGACTGCACAGGTTCGATCGCACATCGTCGTAAATATATACATGCATATAATGTATAATGTATTATATGTGTGTAGTAAAATACGCGGTGTGTTCCGCGTTTTCCATACTTAAAGTATTTGTATATACCATACGTAATAGCAGTAGTTCAATCCCGACGAGTCAATCTCTTGTGCATGTATACATATTTATATATAGTGAGTTCTCCATTCCGTCTACACTCTCCAATATGATGGAGGAAAAAATGAATACATAAAAAAATGTGGTCGAGCAGTGCTACCACCCCTTTGATTGGTCCGCGGGTGTACAAACTACGCAGTTACAATCAGTCACACTTGGTTGGTTGGTGGTGGCAAGTCAGGCAAGTGGCAGTAAGAGTGCCAGCTATGTCGACTCTCGAACACATAACACGTTCACCACGATGACCACTCATACACATAGAAATATTCTTGTATTGGATGTTAGATGTTGGAATACACACAATACAAACAATCGTCGTTACTGCACACACCAATACTAATCCATCGAGTTATCTCAGAAAGTGTAGGCAGATAAATATATAGAGAAAGAGAAAGAAAAACTGAAAAGGGTATTCCTTGTCCATCTCCTCCTCTTTGCTTTTTATTTCTGGTCACTGTAGCCGTATACCGGGAGCACAACAAGTCTGAACGTGACCACACCAACTATATACATTTTATTATATTTATAATACCTACACAGATAAAAGTTTATCGTTATTTTTACTATGATTTTTAAAAATTTTTTTTATTTTTATTGCTTCAACATAATGTAGTAAGTTCAGTTTATTTTTTATTTTTTTTTCAGCCATTTTAATAAATTGTTATTATAGTAAAAAATTGACAGTAATGTAGTTTAATTATTGCTAGAAGAGAAATATTATAATAAACCTCACAGCAAAGAAAAACTAATAAATGCTACTATTTTACTTCAGGCACGTGTATTTGCAGCATCAATAATTAATCCAAGAACGTATCTTTTGATCTTTTATTCTTTTGGCCTAGAATTTCCTTCGCTGATGAAAGCCATCATTTTAGGTTTTTAAAACTACCATGTCGCTGACAAGAATATTCCTGTAATACATTCATCGAATGTTGCTGAAAAGTAACAACAATAGTAATAAGAAAAATATCTAGCATTTAATAGCACATTCAGTAGTTTACAATTCATTGTTGATTAAAATGTATGCGTGGCCAAATGAAAAAAAGCAAAATCTTCATCACGATTCCGATAGAAAGCATCCAAATCGTTGTGTGTACCAATAATATATACATGTAGCATATAGTAACTACGATGATGATGATGATGATGATGCTGATGATGATGACAAAGACGAAGACTATGACGACGACACTGTCCCCGTCACTTTTCCCTACCTCTTTTTCAATCGTATTCTTCATCGGCCCTTCCCCTACGCGTTGCTCTTTCTCCTTTACTCGCGTAATAACCCCCTTGATCATCGAGAAATATAACATATACACACATACACATTTTTAAACTGTATACTACTCCCCTTGCTCCGTTAGCCTCGCGGTAAACGCGCGCGATCGTGCGTTTCTGCGGTCCACGAGGTGCGCGCGCACGGTCACTCTCCCACCACCGATTCGCGTGGCTACAACACACGATACTGCACAAACTGCAGGGTACTTTAGCCCGGTGGTGGGGTAGAAAGTCGTCAGGCATGTGTACAAGTGTGTATCAGTGTGTTGTAGTGTCAAACCAGTCAAGCTAGGGAGCAACGAATCATTGCCACACCAGACCTCGAGGAGAGTAGACGCGTTTCCCGTTCACTCAGCTCAGTCGAGATCTTGTGCTCACTTCTTAGCAGTAATATTTTCTAGTAGTTGACTACTTCAAGTGTGACATTCACTGCCCTGAACTCTGTTGTTTCTGCCTCAATACAGAAAAATATATTATTAATTGTTCGAATCCTGTGACTTTTGTGCTCAAGTTTTTTATTGCTGTCATCTTATCACGCGCATGGACAAGTTTTCTTTCACACAAAAATTCATCCGAGTGTGAGAAACGTGATTTTTGCCAGTTGTTCTTTGTGCAAATAATACGTGCAAATATTGTTCTGCGTATTTCTGCTGAACTTATGGACTGATCCCAGCTGATAATAAGAAGACAGTATAATAAATCAGTGATAAATAGTCATAGAGAAATATTTTATATCAACAGATTATTAGTGCATGACTTGAATTGTCATAACAACTGAACTTTATAAGACTATTAATTCGCACTTATGGAAATAGATCCATTTGAGGATCCACCTTATAGACGTTTCAGACGGCGTAATCATTAGTCAAAAATCCATCAAGAGACTTTGTATATTGATGACATTCACTAGTGTAAACGAAACAAGTGTGCTGCTGCTTGATAATCGTCTTGCACGAATACCAGCAGCGCACGTGTGAGCTTTTAGTGATTATTATATCAATAGACAAAGATAACGAAGATAATAATAAAAACAGTAGCGTGTTGTAACTGGCGATATGAATGTATTGAATAATTGTGCATCTCATGACACTTATCATTGTTTACAGTTACACGTGACCATATTTCATAACTGAAATACGATAATAACAATTAATTGATAGATCAAATGCACTTCTTGGAGTGCGTAAAAAGATAAACTTTATACAAGTGCTGCAACAAGTGCTCAATCCTAAATGAACTGATAACTGCCATTGAAATTATTTAGCTACAATTGGAGTGTGTTGAGTAGGAAGTTAATATCTGATTTAAAAAAAAGAAATAAACAATTATTACGTTTATTGTCATGGCTATTCCATTCAATTTGCCATCTGAAGACGAGGCCGAGGCACAAAGCCAACAGTTGGAGCAGCTGATGTTGGACCTTTACGCAGCTCTGCAACAGGTCCTTCGGAGTAGGAGTGCACAGCATCCATCTCGCAATCGTGAGTACTTATTTCAATAATTCTGTTGCCGCAGGTTTTTTTTTTTCTTTTAATGACCTTTATTTATCTTTGCTTACTTTTTGTTACGTTATTAATCAAACTAAGTGGAAACGTTAATTTTCAGAGTTGAACTTTCACTTTCATTATTTATTTAAATATTGTTCTGTAAACAATATTTATTATTATTAAGATATTTGTTGATCTTTACATTTAGATATGTCAAGAATTTTCCATAGTTTGTGTTGAGTTAATTTTTAATAATTCTCTTTGATTAATCAATAAAGAAATATTTTTCTCAATGTTTTGTTGATTAATTAAATCTATTGGTGATATTTTTCTAAAAAAGAACAAAAACATTGTCAATATTTTCAATTTATTTTACTGATAAAAAATTTATAATTAAGACAAGTAAAAGATTGATAGGGGATGATTGATAAAGTGTATAGTAAAACTTTATAACATTTCTTGAAACCTTGAATGCTATAACTGACCCCGAAATCGCGATGATTCCAGTGAGTAGACGATGGTACTTAACACTTAGACCTACAATAAGTAGTTATAGTAAGCGCAGTAGATACGTAGTAGTTAACGTATATGCTATCATAGTCAGACAAGTAATAATTTCAAGATCAGAAATGTCAGTTAATTTTCTGTTTTTCACTGTCACTCTAAAATTACCCATTTTAATCAACCAACCCAGCGGAAGACGAGAAACTAAATAAAAGCAAATAGTTTGAATAGAGGAATAAAAAAAAAACCCATGTAGGTAACATGAAATTATATTTGTATTACATGGGTTTAAACGTGGTGTGTTTAAATAATATATCATTACATGGAGTGTGGTATATGATAAAAAATTTTTTTTGACACTTGATAGCACAAAACAATAATAATTGTCAATAAGAGGTCATGGGTAGATAATGATGGTGGAAAAAATATAATAAATATGTGTGTGATATAATAATAGAGAAAGTTGAAAAGTCTGGTGGAGTAAAAAGACTGTATAGTAGATTTAGTCATCGGGTCAATAACCAATGTAACTCGCAAATTTTCAACTCGAAGGAATATTGAAAATTTAGCAGCACAGTATATAATCAGAGGGTGCACATATGTTGTTGCATCAGATCGAGAGAGTTTGAATATTTATAGAAGCAGCTGTGCACGCGTTCGTGAGGTTACTATAGTCCACAGGGTGACTGTCTCGCGTAACATTCGTAGAAAACTCATTCCTGCACTCCTCCTCTCCCTCTCGTTTATCGTTTATTTGCGGTCACGCCTCACACAATAATTCTGTGGCTGCTGCAGCACCACTTATACGTGGTCACGATCCAAAGGTTCAACTTACGATCAATCGACGGCACGCGTCACGCGTACGTCGTCTATCTCCATATACACATGGATATTGTTGCTATTAACCGTTGCATTACATTTCTTTTAATTACGTTGTTAACTGTAACATGCACTTATCTTGACTGTTGTATCTCCAGTGTTGGCTTTGGTCAGTTTTATTGACAATTAAAACAAAACTCTCTCGATCGATCAATAAAAAAAAACATTATATAAACAGTCATTATTTTTTCTTGATAAAAAAAAAAGCAAATATCTTATAATTGTAATTCAGTTGCATTCATTTTTTATTCTATACAAATTCCATTCAGATTTTTTGATTATGAATAAGCTTGTTTTACAATGAAAAACAGAAGTATGTTTTAGTAGAAAAATTTATTGCTCAATATTTTTTTTATTAACTGCATTGTCAATTGTAATATAACTTTATCTACATTGCTACATCTACTCCATTGTCTCTGGTCATTTTTATTATTAATAAAAATGGAGTTTTATTCATAAAACAATTTTTATCTCTACAATAATCATTCTTTATAATCACTAAAAAGAAAAATTGCTTTAAAACCAATGTGTTGCATTATTTTGTTTTAGTAAATTTATTATCAAATCAAAAAATACTCCTTTTATTCCAATAAAAATTTTTATCACATCCTTTAATAATTGATGAGTTGATTTTCGCCACAACAAAGTGCATGTTATTTTTCAACAAAAAAAAATACAGTTTATTATTATAAATGCATGACAAAGTAACCGCAGTCTATTATAACCTGTCTCTCATATCTTCCCTGACAAACTACCAGAAACAAAACAACGTCAGAATTGTCAACTTATCAAGGGTGTTTCGTCAACTTGGAGCCAGTATCAACCTCAAAGTCCTGATAGACAGGCAAACACAAAGCGATAACAATTGATAGAAAAAATCATATATTAATGACAAAATGAGTATGATACAAAATACATGAGGAAGAAAAATACAGCATTGTATCATCGATCAAATAGAAGGTCTTAGTGTATGCTATTTTCCACTATCTACGACCTGCATGAAATTTTAATTGACCAAGTCATCACATGGCATCAATAAAAGGGATTTCCCTTTAATCATCAGATTATATGTACCTCGAGAGAATCAAAGTGATGTTTCAATTATTTACCAACGCTATTGATACACTGTTTGACATGAGTGTGTTTTGAGTAAAAAGCGAAGCAGCTTGTATAGAACAAGACAATTGCTTAATGCACAGTCAGGTAAAGAGAGAACAAACGTGCGTAGTCGCATGCTGTAATCCGCAATTGAGTCATAAAGTATATGTGTCTACTGAATAGTATCAAGCTAGAGATAAAGACGAGTCATTCACGTCGTAGAATAAGAGCTAGAGATAATAGGAAAGAAAAGCTTAACTATGAATAAGCGAATTAGTAGGAGAATATAACGAAAGAAAAATAAGAGAGTGAGGGAGAAGGAGAGTGCAATAAGAGTCAAGTAGTAACAACTTGCACGTGTTCTCCTGCTCTATGTAGTAAGACTGGCCGAGTGTGGCCGAGTATCTACAAATGGGACACGTATCGTCGACTCATCGGCGTGTGTAGAGCGCGTGCGCGTCTTGTGGCCTTGAGAAAAGTTCTTTGTGCGGCTGAAAGCGACTTGCATCGCTCGAGAATTGCAGTTCAACGTGCGTCAGAGTGTATATGCAGTGCAGTAATATACACCGAGAAGCAACCCAAGAGGAGGATGATATATGATGGTGAGAAGGAGGGAGAACTGATGTTTTATACAACACAAGCACTTACGTATCAGTGGAGATGAAAAATAGGAAAAAATGGAAAAAAGAGACGGAAAGATAACTAAATGCGAAGGATATAAATGTGTGATTCATATTTATACTCTTAACTGTAGTTAACTTCAAGGGTGTTGTATTATACTATACCAAGTACATCTAATCGAGCATGCATGCAAACTTTATTCTCCATAGCTTGTGTTGTATACATACGGGCTCATGTGGTGATAAATAATCAGACTTGTATGTGTATATGTTTATAATTGCGCGATTAAAGAGAAATAAATGGAAAATTAGAGTAATTTGGTAAGATATGTTTGCCTGTATAAGAGACAGAGATATGTGTGTGGAGTAAGAATTGCAGATTTTGCAAACGATGTAGATCATCGATGTTGTCTTGGAAAAGTGAAAGATAGTCACTTGTAAATGTCAAGGATACTACTACACTTATAATAGTTGTCTCATCGCTTAGGAAAAATGATATTTTTACACCTTACTTCATTTGAATATTGCAGATAATTGTTTGTAATTACTGTAAATGGAAAAATGTATTTCAATATTATTACCATGTGTGGAATCGTAAAATGCCTTTAAACATTACATCTATTCGCTAATTGCTCCGATAACATTTATCTTTTTTTGCTGATAAATTTCAATAATTGTAAATGGTTCTCAGAAGCTTTAAAAAATGGTCATTTTAACAAAAAAGCTTCTCTAATTATTCTGAAATATTTTATTTGTTTATGAAAATTTTTATTAAAAAGAAATGTTTAATTCAACAACTCCCATTTTGTGATCATTGAAACGAGTGTTTTTCTTTGTAAAGAATGATTGTTTTCCAAGCACCAAAGGTGTTGGATGAATAATCATTTATTTTAAGCTACTACGTGACATAAAAAAATATCAGTACTAAAGCACTTACCTCAAGTTAGTAAAATAGATTCGTGAGATTGATATATGTTAAGGATAGAGTACAAGACCTATACGTATACATAAGTGATCGTGCACATACTGTAGTGACTTTATGGGTGTATAAAACCTGCTGCAGCAGAGTTCTCTCTGTCTTATTTCTCCTTTTATTCCCGTGTATCCGGCTACGACAACGTCTCTCTAATATCATTCGTAGTTGTATTGCGGTACTCATCGTCTTTCCTTTCAATAGATCAACTAGCTCTATAAGAATGGGTTATCACGGCAGATTATGTCAACGATCACCGTGAAATGCCGTCAAGACATTGCGTACTCAAGTGTTTGGAGATTTATCGCTGGCACAGCTGTCATAAACTTTCTTATCGCGGGAGTGCATTATTACTCTTATGGCACCTCCTATATATACATACGCATTTACAGGATTTTTTTATCAGTACATAAAAGTTTGTGTGAATATATATATTGGTTGATACGAGCTTTCGTATTTTTGAATACCAAGTTTGGAAATTATTTTATTTATCAACCACCTAACGATAATAATAATTGTAAAAACAATTTTTTATTTATTTATTATGAAAAATGTTTAAAAAAATAGGCTATTAAATAAATGTCTCTATGAAATAATGAATATTTTATTTCTAAAAATGATTGTTGTAATGGCAATGATTTAATCTTTTTATGAAACATCTCTATTATTTTTCTCAATATTTATGATCATTGTAACTTTCCATTGTAAATAAAATATTGGCAATTTCTTGAAGAAAAATCTCATCATAGAAAATATTCTTTCAATTTTATCGCTTCCAATAAACCGCATGAACCAAGAGGTTAAACAATCTTTATGTTTTTTGTGAATAAAGAAATGAAAAAAGTTTGTTTGTGATTGCAGATCGTTTGCCACGACGTGTAGGCGACGTACCAGGAAATCGTGACCATCCGATCGTCCTTATCGACTCGGACCTGTCGCGTCTGCCGCTCCCGGACCTTGTGCTCTCGGCAGTACAACAATTGCCATCACCCGAGCCCCAAGTGACTGTCTCGGCGCCGAGTAGTCCGACGAGAGATGCTGCTTTTCAATTCCCAGAGTGTAGCGTGCCTGTACCCAGTCCGAGGCCACGACCACGAAGACGAAGACTTACGTCTGAGAGTTCGACTCTTGAGAAGGGTGCCAACAGATCAGAGAGCAGTGTCGGCTGTTGTGGTGCAAGTAGTGGACATCATCTCAGTCACTCTTGCAATGAAAGAGAGTGGGCGAGTGTTGGCGCCAATCTTAGAAACATCGCTGATGATTTTCATGCATCCAAGACTAAGGTATGCATTTTTTATTTCTTTAAATGTATTTATTCAAAAATAAATTCGTTAATTATTTAATTTGTTGTTAAATTTTATGGATAAAAATTGAATTAAAAAACAGTTGGTTGAATGTTAAGGATAAATATGTTGTGTGGATAAACAATTTAGCATTGTAGATAGTATAATCGACAAAAGAAACTTTATGTTTGTTCAGAGATTTAGGTATACTCAACGTCAATAACACAAACGTTAGAGAAAACTTTTCACTTTGAAAATTTACCACTTAGCGAGAGTATGCATATACATGTATACTCATGAGGATCTCAAGAGAGAGAGACGCATTATGTACGTTATATGAACGTTAGTTGGTCCTCGTTTACATTTCAATTTGCCACAAAATGCCTCGGTTTGCGGGTACATTACACTCTGCTCTTCCATACTCCAAACTTCCGTCTGGAATTAATTACTACGGGTGTCTGCAGCCAGCTCTCCCAATTCACCCAACTCTCCCTCTAATTTTATCAACGACAAACTACTCTTTCAACTGTATCATGCTCTTTCTCTATTAAAATTTTCCAAACAGCACTTAAAAAGTGCACAGACACTTTTAATAAATATTTTAATTGTTTCAAACTTTTCTTTGTTTGCTTTTTATTGTGTCTCATCAACCCCACTGCATTAATTACTATTTTTCATGAAAGTTATCAACTAAGTAATTTATTTGAAATTTTATCTTTTTATGATTTGTACTAATTCTCAGGATTTTTTTTTCGATGAAAGCAGGAGTGTTGTAAAGTTGGAGCTATAAATGCGAATTTAGTTATCAACTTAAGTATCCCAAGAGGACCATAAATATCGATTCTCTGACCCGACAAGACGTCTAGTATCATTCCCCTCTAGCCCTTTCTCACTTTATGCTTTTCTGCTTTAGTCTCATTTTATTCTCACCCTCTCTCTTCTTACAATCCCTGACGTAGTCTTGATCAAATATGTATCGAGAGGTTGTAAATACAAGAGTTAGAAAGACCGCAATGTTCCTTTTCACTTAACACTGAGGATGACAATTTTTTCTCTTGTTTGCCTTTGAAATTCGGGAAATAAATAAAATGAAGAGAAGATTACTTTCTTTTATCTTATAATTTTATTGTACCCTCGAATTTAACAAATATTTTACTAAATCAGAGAATTTTCCATTCTTTTTTACCACAAAGTAAAACAGAATAATTGAAAAAAATTTTTTTTATTTTAATTTAAATGTTAATTTTTGAATTACTCTAAAAGAAATGTTTTAAACATGACATTTTTCTTGTTCTTATTTTTAAATGGCTCATTATTAATAACTTTCTGATCTTTTCTGCTCAACCATTTTTATAAACTCCATTTTGTCTCAGAGAAAGCTTTTTTTTTATTCAAAGCAGCATTTAAAAGCAACATTTACATAAATTTTTTCAATCAAAATACTTGTCTAAATGCATCAAAACTGCTTATTTTCTTAGAGAATTTACTCCCTGGTCTCTACGGATCCATATCAGATACGTTGAAAATAATAAGAAATGGTGCACAGACAAAGAGAGAAAGCGAGAATAAGTAAAATAACGTCACATAAAACTATGAGATAAAAAATCTGCGTGTAAAATACAATGTACTGTAATCTTGGAGCAATTTCATTTTTTTCTCAATCTCCTATCAGAAGTATAAAATCAAGAGATGAAATAAAAAAGAAAGTCTAAATGTTTCTTTGTTTCGCATGACTGATTCTGTCTCTACTTATTGTTAAATGTTACATTTAGCATTACGCTGATAGAAAGTCAATCACTCAATAATTTTTTTTTGTATTTTTGCTACTTGAAAACACTAATTTCTTAACAGCTATAACTCTACTTCTGAATAGGAGTTTAAATAAAATAAAAACTTACAATTTTGATGAATCATCGATTTAAAAGTATTTTTTTGTACATTTATTACTACGCAATTATCAGTGATTCGATAATTCTTTGTTTACACTGATTGAAATGTACATTAGAGTAGGCTATGTATTATTCTACATATATACATTTGGAGTGAGTAGTTATTTTGAATGACTATTGCAACTTATCTATTTATTTTTTAACGAATAAAATATATACAGAGATAAATGATTTCCTATAGTGGCAATAATAAAATAGAGATAAAAATGACGAAAATTTAATGCGCAAAATGCATAAATCATAATGCTTACACGTTTTAGACATGCATGTCAGTGCAAGTGAGCATGTAATAACTTAAATAACTACATATCCCTCGTTGACGTGAAAGTTAAGTGGGCATATCGCTGACCACGAATCCGTAGCCGGTAGTATGCAGGTACATAGCATGTACAGATGCAGTAAATGATCAAGTAGAAGAATAATAATCACATTCATAAAGTATTTTTTTTTATAATCAATAATATATGTTTAATGACTTTATCGTTTTTTTCACTGATTTAACGCACATAAATAACTTGTGGCGTGGATAAGTAATTATTAACTTCAGGAAATTTTTTATTTAATTTAAAAAAAACTAACAGGGAAAGTGAACATTTTTTTGTGTTAAATACATGTAATTAAAATTTATAATCATACCTTTACTATCGTGACAATTAAAATACGTCTATACTTAGTAATTCATTTGAAATAATTAATTCATAAAATAGTGAATAGAAAAAATATAATCTCTCTGCTCATTTTATATTTTTTTTTCAAACTAATGAGTAAATGTACAAAAAAAAAATATAAAAAGACAAATGTGAAATTCTCATAGAGAGACATTAAAATGATCAAGATGAAAGATTTTCCCGTATTGTTTCAGGGATAAAAGAAAATATAAATAATAATTGAGACGGAAGGTAAATAAAAGTAGAAATAGATTGGGTAAGCGTGGTGAGTGGTATTAATCGTGAAGAGTATATAGATGAAAATACACTCACTCAACCCATGGTGTTGCAATAATTCTCTGTTAATGTGACGTGTTTTTTCTTCTTCCTGGGGGTTTTCGCACGCCCGATAATCTTCTTGGTGTTACTTGGTGCGACCAAGCGAGTGTTTGTTGGTCGAGAGGGTCGTCTAACCATAGTCGATCGCGAGATAAAAGAATGAGGGGATGAAAGAAATGGACGAAAAGCAGGAGAGACAAACAATATAGTTTCTTTCTTCATCTCTATAGATATTATTCGCGACGCCCATAAAGGCGCCTTCGAAGATTGGACTTTTTCGCGATTATTATTACACCGAGCGTGCAGGATTAAGATGGCAACGAGAATCGGAAGTCGCGACGACGCCGGTTGTCTTCGCAAGTCTTACGAGTGTTAGGAGGTACTATAGAGATATATATGTAATATAATAGACGTAGAGAGCAGATAACTGAGACATGATGATAAAAAAAATAGACAAAGGGCGAGAGCTATGCAATTAATTGACCGAGAAGGGAGAACATAACATAGAAAAGATCTTTCCTCATCCTTTCCTGCTATTTCACTGTTAGTGCTGCAACTTCCTTACCACTACTCTTGATACTTAAGATCAAATTGGGAATAATAAGGAAAAAAATCTCAACTCGAGACGCTCTTTATTGGGGATGAAAAAAAAATATAACGAGCTACATCCCTTGTATTACATCATTTACTTCACCGATACTAATTTCTCTCAATTATAACACTCCAATTAAAAAATTCACATCTTGCTTATTCTACAAGGATCCATATAATAAGAACAAAGTAGGATTAAACTGATTAAAAGAATTTCAGCAGGTCTGATAATGTTTTTCTCTGAGGATTAATTTTTTTTTGACTTGATTGTTACAGAATGCTGAAATGGAGAAGTCGAGGCTACCATTTTTGGGAATGGGGTTCCCAAGTGTTACAACGAGTTCGTCATCATCAGCGGATAGCTTCCTATCAATGTTGATTCCAGCACCACTACGTGAGACACTGTGGACAACAGTGGCACTGTATCTTGGTTGGCGATTGGTTTCCCGTCTACGATAGAGAAACTGAACTAAACTACAACTGATGATGGTGGTATTGACAATTGCGAGACGTCGACAATTCAACGGAGGAGGTAGTTGACCGATTATCGAAGACTACTTTTTTTATTGTATGAATTCCAGAGAGGTACCAAATCTCAGCATTCAGACTCTTATGTCTTTTATTCTCTCTTGTGAATTCATGACACTTTTCATTTACTTTTCTGGACTAAAAGTAAATGAAATATAAATAAAAATGATATACAATAATGGTTACTAGAACCTGAATGGCAACAAAATCATCAATTGCCAATCGTATGTAATAATATAAGAGAATATTTTGTCAAATCGTGATTAGTAATTTGAACGTGGAGGATCGAGGGACTACCGGGAGGATAGTAAATGGATTAAAGATAAATTTAAATTACTAAGAACAATAATAAAAGAAAATATTGATTAAAAATTTTAATGATTTATATAAGAAATACGAGGATAGGCTGAAACAGGGGAGCTGAGGACGAGATCCAAAGAGGACTTAACCCAATAATCAAATGTTGATCTCATTATGAATAAATAAAGAGAGGAGTTTATATAAAGTAGTGTGATTTTTTTTATTTTTTTTTAATTGTTTTCTTTTTATAATAGAAAATGCGCAAAAGCGATGAATTTTGTGATTTCTGGATTCTTTGTCGACAAAGAATCTCAAATATTTTCTTTCATCTATTTCGGAAGCTCACCAAACAACAAAACGATCTCGTGATTTTTGTAATATATTTACTTTTTCATTATAAATATTGAAAAAATTATATAATAAGGAATATTATAGAGAAACAAAAAATACTTGAAAAATGATAGAAAAAAATTGGATAAAAAAAATAAATAAATGATAATATAATTAAAAAATTGTTTTGTCAAGATGGTGAGTTTAGAAATAGAAATTTGTAAATAAAATACAAAAAATTAAGAAAAGGAAATAAGATAATAATAAAGTCGAATATGTATTCCAAAAAGAATAACTAAGAAAGAAAAAAAAGCTTAAAGAAAAAAATAATAAAATATAATGAAGATAGACGGGAGTATGTGGAGGAAACGTGGAGGATAGAGAGCAGGAAAATATGTATAGAAAATGAATAACTAAAGTAATAAATCAGTAATAAGTAATCGAATTAAATAAATAAAGTAGATAATTGATATAGAATTCGAGGATCGCAGCATCTGAATTGGCTCGCTGCGAGGCCCGTGGACAGTTTTCAAATGATCTCCGGTAGCTTAGCTCTTATTGTGGCACCCTCGTCCACGTGTGGATGCTCTCATAGATTTATATTCGATGAGGCATCCCTTTTTCCCTCGTACTTTTCCACTTTATATTATACCTATTCTGTCGTCTTTATCCTCAAAGCTTTTACTGTCCTTTCTCTATGTATGCTGATGTTTACTAAATTACAAAATTTATTTTCTCAAAGATATTTTCTACAAAAAGTACCGAACTTTTATTTATTTTTATTATTTGTTTGTTTAATAAAAATTAATTATTACATTTAATTAACTCATTAATCAATATAGCAACTAAAATTTATTTAAAAAAAAATTATAACCGGTCTTTCCAACTGTGATTTCACGTTCTTTCAAATTAAAATTTTCTTACTTCTTGAATCCAAAATAATGGATTCTTATTAAAAGCCAGACATTGTTTACCAAAACTAATATGTTATTTCAACTTTTACGTTGACTTTTTTCTCTTACTTTTTTTTTTAATTTTTAATTTTTTTTTTAATCATTATTAATAATAAACATGATATTGATAAGTATCAATAAATCAGTAATGAGTATTCATGTAAAGAGAAATAGTATTTATTTAGATGATGTAACGTTTATATTTTTCTTAAATGAGAACAGGTCTGTAAGGTTCAAAGAAAAACAGACAATTGTAATTTTAATCCTCATTGCGATAATACTGCCATTCGTTCCACCGAATTGAGATTTTTATGACATTTCATTGTCATATTGTCTTTCATCTTGAAAAATCAAGATGTTTCATGATTTTTCCATGTTGCCATTTTTTATATTTTGTATTAAACAAAGGAAATAAAAAATATATATAAATATATTATATATATTACTATTAATAGACGAAATATAAGAAAAGAGAATGAAAAAAATTTTTAACTATAATCTTGACTTGTGTATGGAAAAATATTGTATTTGACACAAAAAAAAATGAATTTTGTAAACTTTTACAATAGAAATTAATTCGTGATCAATCGATTCGAAATCTCTTTTCTACTGACACAACGATACAATCTTAATACCTTTGAATAAATAATAAATTAATTATTCAGAATGAAAAGAGAATCATTAAATGAATCGAATTACGAGATGCATGTAAATAACCGCTTTTCATCGAGATATACAGTAATGTGAATTTTTAACAAATTAATACAGTTCTATTCCTCCTCATCTCCGTTTATATATTTTTGTTCAATCCATTTTCTGACATTGAGATAACTATACGAATTTAACAAACAATTAATTCGTACAAGTATTTTTAGTTATTAGATGGCCATAATAAGAATATAATTAATAATTATTATAAATAAAACAAACAGAAAAGCGCACATTTACAGATAAAATAAATCCATAATACAGAAAAAATAAATAAAGCGTACATAAAGAAAAAGAATATAGACACAAAAATGAATTTATTACATAATACGTGTATATTTTAACATAAAGCGGTGAATAAAATTATATGCCGATTATTTCGCGAATGAACTAAGTATCTAAAGTTGATATAATCGGCTGTGGTGCATGCGAGTGACGATTGTCAATTTGCCGCATGAAAGTATTTACGATTGAAACAGGCCGTAAGATAAAACGGTTTCTTTATATATATTTAAAAGAAAAGAATGATATTGTATTGGTCTGCGAAAAAAAAAAAATGAAAAATAAAGAGATAAAAGTTTAACGGAGGAAAAGGTGGGACATAAGCTGTAACTGTGACTATGCGGATCATGGGGAGCAGGCTGCCTAAATATTTTAAAATAAACGTTATCAAGGGATTTGAGTATTTACCTAGAGAATAATTAAAATGAAAAATAATCATAATTTCTATTTTCGTCCTTTCTTTCTTCTTCTTGTTTTGAAATTAATTAACTTAATTATAGAAAAATTAGTGATTTTCGATATAAGATAAAATTTAAGTCATCAAAGAATGTTAAATAACAGATTTGATTATAAAGGAGAAAGAAATGTTTAATTAAATAAAATGTAGCAGGCAGCCCGCTCACCTGAGATCCCCGCGCGTCAAAGCGTCACTGTGATCTCGTAATTATTAATAAATATCTAAGTATAGTAACAAATAATCATATAAATATTGTAATTCCGGCCCTCCTCCCTGGAAACAGAACCCTCTCCATAAAGACAACCAACGTACCATATTGCGCATTTATTATTATGTTTATACTGTTCAATTTATTTACATATTAAGGAAGTTAATTTTTATTTGTAATTATTATTATATTATTATTTTGTTTTTTTTTTTTACGTTAAATGCATTTTCAAATGATCTCTCCGAGGTAATATTAAGCACAGTGAAAATCATACAATCACTTTTCTCGTGCTAACAACCTCATTATAACACGCATTTGTCGATATATTGCGTTATGTATAAAATTATAAGTTTATTATTATATTATTATTTTTTATTATTATCATTATCTTTAATTAATTATAAATACTAATTTTATAATATTGATCTTTATTGCTATTATTATTTTTTATTTTTATTATTATCGTACTGTCACATACAAATAAGATTCAGGTTAATGATTTTGGCACTAAAGAAATAATCGACTAGTCTTTACAAGAACCATCATTGAGATTTTTTATAATGGATATTTTCTTATAATCAGGTTGCCTATTCTTTATTTTATATCTTGAAATATATATATTTTTCCTTCACTGTCATTGAGGCATTTGATGATAAACTTTATACTTGATAATAAATTCATTTTAAAAATAATTCTTGACAATGAGACAATTTATTTCATCATTTACCTTTACCAAAAATTATAATTACTCATTTATATACTATTGACAGTGAAGAATAAAATATAAAGAAAAAAGATATGTAATGATATCTTAAAACCTCGACATAATTTCCATCAAGATCGATATCAAGCCGGTGTGTTGTTTTGTAAGATTCATCTACCAGTAATAAATTATTGTAATATGCCACACTGCCAGATATACTTTATCTTATTCGCCAATGTATTTTAATCTGAAGTATTTTCTCGTTCTCACTCCAACCCCTGCAATAGTGCCCCAATTGTGACATGATAGAATTATCCAGATAACTTTAGATTATACTTAAGAGTCGAGAAAATAAAATGGTTATTCAGAGTATAACGTATCCTGCATTCACCTGCATAAGATATATTATTTGCATATTCACAATACAATAATGTCTTTATTTTTTTGATTGTTATAGAATAATGGTGACTAATGAAATTAAAAGAAAAAACACCAAAATATATTGGAGTAAATAATTGACATATAGTCCAGGAAAAAAAATAATACATAAGATCACTGTCGATTGTTTAAAGTTATTAGTCATAAAATAAACACAAACACCAAGTACTTCATGTCATTCCAATTTTAACGATCGCAAATTTATTTTATAACGGAGAATTGCAAAATATTATTGTAAACAATTATGATATTTTTATTTTTATCACCGGTCACGATCAATCGCTCCGCTTAAAATGGTGCCAATTGTATAGAATACGCGCTTCTTGCCAGTGAAACTCAATTTTATGTTTTCTTTGAATCAATATCGATTTCATTACACAGCCATTATTTTACTTATTTTTTATCCTTTTTCTTTAACTTTTATTTTGGTTTTTGTACACATTTTTTTAATGTCATTCAATTTGATTTTTTACGATCTTTGATAACTCTAGAAATCAATTACTTTAAATATCTTTGTACACGTTACCTGTAACCGAAATGTCTCGTGAATCATAAGGCCACTGCAGCCATTATTGTCTTGGACAAAAAAAAACAGTACGAAAAAGGGTGAGTGATAGAAATGAAAAGTCAGACAAAGAAATAAATAAAATTGTGATAAGACATTGTAACCTAATTAACTTGGTCATGATTATATAAATAAATTTTTCTTGAAAGTTACTGTATGCTTGTAATTGCCTTGTGATAGAGTCTGGACTGTTTTTAAAAAAAAAGTTATTTTACCATTATCAGATCTATACAATATATATAAATACATGTATATTTGTTATATTATTTTTTATTATTATTGCTATTGCACCTGCATTGAATTAATTGATATCGTACATAAATATATATATTATTTGAACAGTATAAATTGTATTATTTATATGATTAATTATAAAAGAAAAAATTTGTCCAGCAGACCAATCCAAAGATGTGACCAAATAAGATTAAAAGTGAAGAATATTCTTACAAGCAAGTATTCGAAAACCATTAAAGACAAAATCTAATGATATTTTGTCTTTTCAAAGAGCCTACATTTTTCGTACTCGATTTTCTTGTCCAAGACTTAGCAGAACTTGTCTAA